TTTTTTTCCTCTCGTCCTCGCGATAAAACGTCCGCGAAACGTGACTACGTGTGAATGAAATCCGATGAATTTTTCCGCCGCGGAACGTGATTGTAATTTGTCCGGTTGACGCGAACTAATGAAAATTTCTCGCATTTTCCGATGAGCTATGTTGCCCTCGAGAGGCGCGTATTTTAATGTTTTTGCTATACCTACCTGCGTTTAATTATTTTTGCGTAAGCAATTATAAATTTTTATTCGTACGAAACGAGCCTCTTGGCATTCCTCGTACGAGAACTTTCGTAAAATTCTAGTAAAAAAGAAGAGAAATTTTTTGCACTTGTACAGTGTGTCCTTTGAACAATTTTTAATACACACGACATTTCCAAGTATATGTTTAATAAAAAAATCACCTTTATATCACTTTCATGAATCGATAAATTCGATATTACAGTGAGACAATCTGTATAACTTGAATGATAAAAAAATCGTACGAATCGATTCGATTAAATGGGAAAAAAATCTTTACTACATAACGATATACATAAAGATCTTGCATCGTTGCCGTATGGGGAATATTAATTTTACTCTTTCATTAAAAACCGGCGATTTTTCGCAGAAATATGCCCATTAGTCGTCGAGATTTATTATTTTGTTTTTAATTTGCGCACTCGTACTTTTATGCCGGTCGCTTTCTCTATGTGCAATTCGATCAAGAGAATATATCGATTCATTGTTAATAAAAGCTTAATGAACTAATTGACAAATTGCCCTAAATATTTCAAACGCTACTAAATGCTTTATAAATGGAAAATGCCCGTTACTTCAAACATAAATATTTCAAGTACAGCGGGAAAGTAGTAAAGAATTTTTTAAATTTTTTAATAACCAATGTTTTTACCATTTGAAAAAAAATATACGTTTGCCGAAGGAATTGACATCTGCAAATTCGAAAATCTCAATTTTTTTCAAACTTGTTTATGGGTGGTTTTCTCCCTTAAGAGCATCTGCAAGTGTTTTGTACATAATAGCAGGAAGATACTCTATGTTATGCGCGGGTCCTGCTCTCCAGGGTTATGAATATATTTATATTATCACCCTTACATCTTGTTATCGAAGTTGTTTTCGTTATTTACTATTTACTGTTATTAAAAGGGACCATACGCCGGAAAATGTGATTAAATTTGTATATAATATTCCGACAAAAGTTATGTGTAATTCTAACGGTAATTAAACCGAGAAGGAAAGAGAAAAGTTCCATTTTCGTCGGCCTGTTGTGTTTAGCTAATTGGATAAAATAGCGAGAGAGCCGCGGCAAATTAACAGTGTTTTCACAATGAAAATAGAATAAACGCGCAAAAGGAAATAAACTTATAATAGAGTGCTCTGTTCTGTACGAACGTGTTCGAGGCACTTTGTATGTACATTGAATTATTGACCGGATTCGCAGGAAATTCAAAATAAAAAGTGCAGATATTCAAACGGCCATAATAAATCAACCAAAAAAAAGTTTTTCAACTGGCTCTTTAGCTTAGCAGTCGCACACAAGGCGTTTCTGATGGTACAAAGAAAAAACTAGATGATATATCGATTACGTACGCACAAAGGGTCATTCGATATACAGTTTGAGTTTTGAGCACAATACGATATGTAACTCTTACGCAAAAATAATACACGCCGCACTTTCCTTGCGCGAATTGCGCAATAAAACCCGTCGTTCCCGTTATGTAATCAATTTCCTTTTGTTTTTTCGCTCATCGTTTTCGAAAAATACTTGTCGCAAACGTGTTCCCGGCTTTTTTTTTCGTCGCAAATAAAATCTTTTACCGACCGACGAAATATAAAATCTCCGAGTTTACGAGCCATTGAAAACAGTCACTTAAGACGCTTCATGTACCAACTTTATTCGGGAAATATATCAGGCGATTCGCCGTTTTACGACCGCATTTTTCGCCGCAAATTCACTGCCCCTTCGGATGTATTAGATTTTTTTTTCTTCGATTACTTATTAGTGTTGATTGAGTGACTTAACGCTCCCCAAAATAGAGCTATTTTAATTAGATGGATTTCTGTTATACTCCGTTCGCCAACAGGAGATAGTAATAAAACCTTAAACCAGTAAATTTAAGAAAAAAGACTCGTAGGTATACTGTCTTCTACATACAATTTATGTTTCATTATTATCTCCCGATGGCGAATGGATTATATAGATCTGAATTTTGAAATTTTATTGTCATTGTGAATTTTAATAATTTATTGTCATCTCCTGATAGCGAACGGAGTATAGATGTAAATTTTGAAAATTATAGATGTGAATTTTGAAAATGTATTGTCATCTCCAGATAGCGAACGGATTATAGATGTGAATGTTAAAAAATTTATTGTCATCTCCTTACAGCGAACGGAGTATAGATGTGAATTTTGAAAATTATAAATGTGAAATTTTAAAAATTTATTGTCATTTCCAGATAGCGAACGGAGTATAGATGTAAATTTTAAAATATTATTGTCATCTCTAGTTCGCGAACGGAGTATCATGTGAATTAAAAAAAAATATTGTCATCTCCTGATAGCGAACGGAGTATAGATGTGAATTTTAAAAATTTATTGTCATCACCTGATAGCAAACGGAGTATAGATGTGAATTTTAAAAATTTATTGTCATCACCTGACATCGAACGGAGTATAGATGTGAATTTTTCCGCGAGTTGATTTTGAAAATTTATTATTTCACTATAGGCAGTCGAATGCGGGATCGATTTTCGAGCGAATTCCACCCTCATATAAAGCATATCGCGAGTGGAGCGAGCGCGATGGCGGAAAACTCTCGGAAACCGCAATAATGAAGCCGTAACACATGTGTTCGAACGAAAAAAGAGAGATTTGTATTTGCGACGGCTCCGCCAGATGAAAGTGACGGCTACGGCTAATTTAATAGGTGTTCCAGCGACCATCAATAACCGCACGATTGGTCTAAAGATCTAACAGCGGGCGGTACTCGTACCGGCGTTTCAATAAATTAATAAACGTCCGGCTAATTAGCTTGTACCGGGTTCGTGTCGCCGGAAAAATTTCAATTCTCTACTCTACCTATTTTTCCGTATTTATACATTTTCAGAGCGTACAAATTTTCGACAACAAATATATTATTTTATACACAATTTTCGATATTAAGAAACACCAACAATTTGTGTCATCAACGCTATACCTGTTAATTCTAAATAATTACATCTCGAAATGACATAATAATTGCAGTAATATTCTCTCTACATTTAATCGACACGATGATGGCATTTAATTGCCGTCTCAAACTCGCCGGACATTGCTCATTTTTTCCGATCGTTGTTTTTCTCTTAAATAGAGGCGCAATCATCGTCCGCCGCTGCATTGTGCTCGCGTTGACTTATTTAACGATTTACCGTCAATTTTATCAACGTAAAACTCCGGCGTCGTTATCTCTACGTTACGAGAAGATGCGATCTCGAATTCCTGGTAGTTGTCGCGGTCCGACCGGAAGATTTACCGATCGAAAAGTGATCCGCGACCGACGGACGTGACGAAAGTTTTATGATTGCCCGTCGCGCGCGGGCCAATTAAAAAATTTATTTCGGCCGTTTCGAACGTGTTTTACGGGACGATTACGCGAAGGGATTGCTCTTTTAATGCCGGTGCTTTGTGTAAGTTACGAGATTTGCGAGATTGTTCGGATCGGAAAAATTATTCTTTGAATGGAAATTCTCCTGGTGGTGAACGGAGTATAGTTGTTTTTGCGTTATAAAAGTAGAACAAAATAATAAGAAACGGCGAGTTTTTCGTTTTAACCGAAATTCACGAGCGAACGAATGAAATATCGGCATAGGAATGCATCTCATTATCGGAGCGAAATAACGAAGCAAAACTTTCGCATTGACATGGAGCCGTTGCGAGGAACTTCCGTCGTTTAGATAAAATGAAGTTGGGAAGCGGATCGCATGTGCCCGTTGATATTTCAACGGGAATTGCGTTAGACAAACTATAAAGGAAACCGTCGCGATATTCCTATAGTATTATGCATGTATGTATTCTCTCCTCGAACTCGAACTGAAATATTCGCCGTGTAAGGTAATATTTCACTCAAAACGACCACCGATAACGCGGGAAATTATGTATTGTACATTCTGAGACACACTGTATAGAAAGAATTCGAAAAATCCATCAGTCATCGCGAAATATTCGATGTTTGAGGAAAGAAACCGAAGTCAACGAACACCGGGTATAGCATATAGCGTGCATTCGAGATATAAAATGACAATTAAAGGAAATGAGCTATAAAATCAATTCAAGAAACAGCATTATTTGTACTTATCGGTTGTCCATTACCCGGTAAGATTCGTGCGGTCTATTTGAAACTCCTTTTATGCTTAAATTAAGTTATGCCACTCGCCCATAGTTCTACCTAATGCTTTGCTAATGAACGGTTCAACGTCTATTTGTTTACATATTTTTTTGTTTGTCCTTTTGCTCGAAGAGAGACTGCTTCAGGAAAGGAATACTCCCTTGACAATACTCGCAAAAAAACGATTCGAATTTAATACGAAAAAATGTTGTATCTTCTTCAACCGAATATTTCCGCAATTAAATGAAATTTTACACACAACTAGTAGTATTGCAATAGAAAATATTTTTATTATTGTGGTGATAATGTATTAGTATAGTTGTAGAGGATTCAAAACTGTTGAAAAATAAGCTCTCAAAACTGTTGTAAAAAACGAGAAAATTTCTTCACAAAGCTTTTTATTACATTAACTCACAATTTCTAGTACAGATAATTAGATATAACATATAAATCGATTATAAATCGAACCGAATTCGAGCGACGCGGAAATCGTTTTTCCAGCGCGAGTGAAACAAACGTGCGAACTGGAATGATATGCTCGCGGAAGGCGACCGGGAAATCTTAGTTATCGTGTTCGTAGTGTCGATATCGAGCTTATCATCTTCAAAACGAAGCGTGCTACTCAGATGAGGGCCAGGAGGCGACTATGTCTTCTTTATCGCGAGCTCAAAGCTGGCCTCTACTTTCCGGTGCCGTACCCGCCGAGGACGCCAGGAATCTCGCTGCCAAAACCCAGGTGAGTTCCAGTTATTTTTTTTTAAATAATTTATGGATATTCCGTGTTAAATAGGGTAATAGTCACGAATAATCACTATATAAAATAATATAGCTATCTTTATGATGCATAAGTAGGTAAATTTTACGTTCAATATGCGAGTATTTTACTAACTTTTTCTTTTATAGGTTTTTTTTTTAAATTATTATCTAACATGTGAATACAGGGTGTTGATTAATTGAGTGCCGATACTTCAGGATGTGAATATTTGGGGATTTTAAGAAGAAAAGTTTATATTAATATGTGTCCTAGACCTCTTAGTTTTCGAGCTACAGGGTTACAATTTTAGGAAAAACAAACTTTTCTGTCATAATTTTCTTATTACTCCGGATATTTTTATGAAATTTCGGACGTGGACGTCACTGGTAATAGTAAAAAAATTAATTTTTGTCCAAAAAAAAGAGTTTCCATGCATGATGGGCGCCTATCAAATTTCAACAAAATATCAAAAGCAGTCTCAAAGAACTTGGGAAAAAATTGGTTTGGTTTTTATTTTTTTACGCGAAAATGGTGCGTCGTACGAAAGTAAGTCTTCGGATCGAATTTGCTCCAAAATAAATGAGGATTCTTAAAATAATTTTAGTTTTTAGAAAAAAGCAGTGGCTTACCATTTTTTCTTCAAAAATATTCAGTTCAAACCCCGCACGGACGTCACTGGTAAAAATTAAAAAAAATCTTTTGCCTCAAAAAATTCTCCTTAACAACTAAAAAGTGTATACAAAATTTCATAAAAATATCTGGAGTAATAAGAAAATAATAACGACAGAAAATTATTTTCTTTTCTAAAACTGTATAACACCCTGTAGCTCGAAAACTAAGAGGCATAGGACAAATATTGATATAAACTTTTCTTCTTAAAATCACCCAAATATTCACATCCTGAAGTATCGGTACTCAATTAATTAACACCCTGTATATTAGACTTTTTTCTACTCTAAACAATAGGAAAAAAACAGTATAATTTTGAACTGCAGATCCAGGCCCGAAGGTTCCTCTGTCGCCATTACTACCCCGAAGGGGGATGGGGTTGGGTGGTCGCCGTTTGCGCGGTCCTCGTCAACGTCATCAACCACGGCGTGCAGTTTTCCTGCTCTCAATTAGTAGCGCCTGCTTCGTTTAAATTCCACGTCCCTCCCGTATATCCCGCAGGTAAGTCGCAAGCCATTCCTATACAGGGCGGATCGATGAAGCTCTCAAATCGACATTGTAAAAAAACTCAATAAGAGTTCATTAAACGAATAAACAAATCTTGCTTCTTCGATTCCATTCTGTATTTTTGAATTGATGAAACATTGTATTTAGCTGTAAGTGTTTTAAATAATAAGGAAAATATATACCTACCAATCCAATTACTCGATCAGTTTATTCGCTTCCGTCCGTATAACGAAAAGTCTAGCCTAATTGGAGCGTTCCTCCCCTATTTACTCCGAGGATGGAGTTGCATATTTCAAAACGAGATATGCGCCCCGTTACGTTTAGGTGCATTTGCATGCGACTTTGTTGAATTGCGTTTGTCTTGATGAAATTGGGAATTCGCCGATGGCCGCATTTACATGAAACTTGTCCGCTCCGGACGCGGACGAAAAACGTATACGCGATCGCCCCGCCGGAAAGACGGGCGCAAACGGCCCTAATTTATTGCGAATTTTACTTTGTTGGAGAATTGATGGACCGCCGGCGACAATGCGAAACGGCCGTTCTGACGGATTTGCCCGAAAGCTGTGTGGCGATTCGAAATGAAAAAGATTGTTTTCACGAGGGCACGACAGAATAAGGCAAATTAATTCGAGAGATCAATTTCTCATGTACTGGTTTTTTAATCGAATTTTCTACTCATCGCTCGGACAAATCTGACAAGCGATACACCTACGTGGAATCGATTTTTCTATATTAGAATTTCAAATTTTATTCTAATGCTGCCGTGTACCGTTTGTTCTTAAGCTGCACCAACAATGGCGAGCCGTAAATGGCGAGATCATTAATCTCAACTAGTTGCATTAGAAAGGACTTTTGTGGGATAACGTTGAAAATAAGAGGATAAAATGGTGTCGTTTTAATACCTATTATTTTATAGTTATCGGGATTGTTCTAAAAAGTAGTTAAACCTGCGCTATAGGTGAGCCGGGTAGCTTTATATCTAAAGTGTTATTAGATGCATCGAAGTTTCTATATAGCAATTCGCTATGTGTTATGCATATAATTATATCTGTAAAGAGCTCTTTTATTTAACGATAGTTTATAAAGTAATTTTGAGAATTATCAATATCACTTTTATAAACTGCCTTTATTATATCAAGTGTAACTCTTTCAGATGGGACAACTTTATTTTTCTTGATTAATATACCTATACATATCGAAGAATTTGATTGATCTAATATTCCCAATAACTCTCTCTATCTCCCCAAACAACAGTTATCCCTAGAGAATTTCTATATTTTTCTGCGACTATTTCTTTTGCGACATCAATCATTGCGCGAACTTTGGCGTTTCGAAAATGATAATTCGATCTTATATTGCGTAAACTTTTCGAGGAGAGTCGGACCTTTGACGAATTTTTATTAGAGCCTCGAAATAACGTGTGAAATATGTGCATGTTCCGAAGTTCCCCTATGAAAAATGCAAATACTAGGGAACTTTTCGAATGTAATAACATCGTGTTTTTCACGTCGCTGTTGTGGCAACTTATTGTATATAAAATAAGATGTGTTTGTTATATTGTTGGTGCAGAACAAATATCAATGCACGTCACTACTGTCGTCAGGCTTGCCAATTATTGTACCCAACTTTTAAAAATGAATACACTTTTTATAGTAGGTTGGTACTCTGAAAAAATTTTCCTAAGTTTTTACCTAGTTAACCATTCATATGACTTTGAGTTAAGACTAATTAATAGAAATCGCGAATTTCACAGAAATTTCACTATGTACCTACTCTCTTTTAAGGGCCAATTGTATAATAGACAAAATTTTTTACTCGCACTGTTAAATATATTTCAGATGATAAAGGAATTTGATGATTAATCATAATGAGCCCCTGAATACGTCCGCCATTTAGAAACGTGAAACAAGTACCCCTAATTTTCAATTTGTTCTTGTCATTTTGCCATTTGACAATTTTAGAAAATTCTTAGATTTTGCTAACTCTATAAAAGTTCGGCAACACTGCCTAGTTGTGACGTAGTAAATTATAGGTGACATGCATTGATATTTGTTTTGCACTGACTGTATTTCGCTATCAACTCCTTCGGCATACGAGTATGTATGAACTTCGTTTAATTTTAAAAAAATTGTACGCTTTTGGGTGAATTTAGCGCGAATGGAACTAGAATGACAAATTATCGGAATGCCGGTGACGTTTTCATTGTATATTTCCCGCAAATTATCGAACAATGCACAATTTTACGCAAAAAAACCGAACACGCAACTCGTTAGAATGCAGCCGTTTCATCACGATCACGAACAGATGCCGCGTTTTTTCGCCAAAGAAACGAATCCGGCCGTTATGGCATTATTGAAATTAGGCGAATTTAAAACGGTATTAAAATTTTATGGCGGAGATGCGGAAAAACCGGGAGAGATGGGTTTTTGAGCTGACGGAACGCGCGATAAAAATATGAATGGATCGTTATGGGGGGACCGTTTTTTTACGGTTTGTTTCTCGGCGAAATTTACTCGCACTAAAGAAATCGAATGATTATACAGGGTGTTAATTAATTAAGTGCCGATACTTCAGGATGTGAATATTTGGAGGATTTTAAGAAGAAAAGTTTATATCAATATATGTCCTAAACCCCTTAGTTTTCGAGCTACAGGGTGTTGCAGTTTTAGATGTGGTGCTATCTTTTGCATACAAAATTAGTTTATATTACTATCTTCTGATAGCGAACGGAGTATAGAAATTTCTAATTTTCTAAATAGTTTAGTAGGCCGACGGGCGAATAATTTCTTCGTTATTGCACACCTAACTTATCTGGCTTAAATTATGATAAACATAATTTATTTTTGCAATAAATTATGATATGCAAGTTTTCTATAAACAAGACAGGTTAATTTTGCATCGCGTACGCGCTATTTTACTTCCGCGTAATCGAAAGCGTAATTTAGCAATAGGATTTATTTGATGATCAAATTCGCACTGTCGGCCTCTTTCGAAGAAAATATAACACGCTATTATAACGTAATTAATATATCAGACGGGTTGGGATGATAAATCTTTAACGCCGTTACGCGATAATAAATCAGATAATAAGCGAAGTTCTCGGAAATTTGCTATTACTGAATTTTTAGGAAAATGATTATTCGGTTTTACTTCTACCCACTTTCTTTTACCGCCTGATTTTCGCGATAAAGCAGAGCTGAGTTTGTAACCTGAAAAGTTAATTAACCCCTCACAGGGATATAAAACCTCTGCGTGTAACAGTTAATTAAAAAAACTAATTCCCACCTCTATTCACACTGTCAAAAATGACGTTTAACAGATATGTCTATTCAACCGAACGTAAGTTTAGTAGTACCTACTCGCACGTACGATCCGATATAATAAATAACTTTTATTGCAAAATGTTGGTCGATTGTGCGGGCGAATAAATCTTTTTCTAGCACGAATGGCTGCGATTTCGCGACACAATTTTCGCATTTACTTTATTGGTATCTTATTTTTCGAGAGGAACACGTTAACCAACAACTCGAATTAAGTATTTTTGCATGTTTGGGAAAGATAGACGGGCGATAAAGAGACTCGGCTTGATGAATGGGGGCCGTTTTACGCTCGAGAATCGCCTATAGACAGGTTTAATTTAGTTTTCCGAAAATGTCGATTCCGAAGTGTTGCTTAAGTGTATTCTAATTTTGGATATCGGGTAATTTATTTAGTATTTGAAGGCAATGAACTAGGTGTTAAAAACTGATATAAAAAATTCTAATGGATAAAAGATTCTAATATTTTTTGATTTGGAAATATTTTAGAAGATTTTATTGGATAAAAAATGGCGTCCGAGCTTTACAACAGAGTCGCCTTGTAACTGATAGATGGATTTTAAAGAATGCTCCGGGTAGAAAGCTCACATGCTGGTGACACTGTTAACTCGCTCTGTGTGCAGATGGCGCTGCTTGTTTAATTTTGCATATAGTTTTAAATCGTTTTAATAAAAGTTTTCATAATAACTCAATTTAGTTTATTTTAAAAATTATTTTAGATGTCCAAATGATAAAAAATTTTGTCCTAAATTTAGGTATATAAAAAAACCACTAATCTCGCCAATATTCCCCTAAACGAAGTATTTTTAAAAACATGTAAATTTGTAATGATTAATTACAATTGTATTAAATACATATTATTATTACATAAATTTAGTGTTAATAGCTTCATCATTTTATAGAAATTCGATGTTAGTAAGTTAGATCATTTTGGATTAGAGAAACGATTAAAACTTCCAAATTAGTCGTTAAATAACCAAGAGTTTGTAAATAGGGCTGTTAAAAGTGCTATTCAAAGTTTTATTTATGACACGTTCAGATATTCCAATTTTAGCACAAATTGGGGATGTTAAAACGATTATATTCCCCATGCATGCTGCTTAATTCCGGATATTTAACCGGTTTTCGGTGTATTTCTGACTTATTTAACTACGTGTACCTATACCTATTATATGAGAATATTTTCTCATGGGTGCAACTTGCGGTAATTTTCTTGAATCCTCTTATGCAAAACACTCTGTATATGGATTATTTAATGCGGAAAGATTTGGTAGATTTTAATCGCAAACAACGTTAAAAAGTTTCCCGGAAAACTTCTCGGTTTAATAGAAAATCGTTCAAACAGAAGAGACACATAGCAAGTTTATTGTAAATTAATTCGCTTTAATCAAAAACTTTATCTAACAGAAAAGTTACGTCTTACAACTTTTTGCAGGATAAAAAAAAAACAATTTCGACAAACACTGTGTGTGCCACACATCTTTCGAATTTATCGCACACCAATGATCCGGTTGTAAGCAACTTTGTTTCTCAAAAAATTCCGGATTTTCTGCGACTGTATCGATTTCAGTCGATTCAGAAACGATAATACATGTGCTTTCGTCTGCGGAAGGATCAGATAGTGCCTGCATGTTTCGCCTAACGTTCCTTCGAAAGCGATATCATATCGTGAAGTTTTGTTATTTTTTTTGTTAAGAAACTAGACGTGAGACGTATAAATGCGATTTCCAATATTACTTTTGAAATTTACGTGCCCATCTAAACCATAAGGTGATATATGGCGCATAAATTCCTCGCTTTACGGCGATTTTCCTTTATGCGGAACCGTAGATAAACTTTTTAACGGTGTCGTTAGATTCGAATTTGCTTTAGAAGGGAAGCTTTTTATATTAAAAAATAATGTAGTATGGTAGAGTAGTTTGTTATAAATTACAAAGTTAAGTACTACAAATTGGAATTATTTTAAGTAAAAAATATTTGGTGGAATATTTAGGCTTAAGACAATAGCCCTAAATATGCCACCGATATAATTACAAAGAGTAATAACTGGTATCAACGTCGGTTCTTCCGGAAGATTCTCTTTTATATCCTCCCAATTTTCTTAAAAGTTCCCTCTAAAACCGCGGCTGTGGATGAATAAAGAAAGCGAAACCGTTTAACGATGAGTAGTCAGTCGTTTTGACGTCCCCGGGGCCAACGGCCAAATAAATAGGCGACTCTTAAAAGATTTACAACTCCCTTGAAGAACTATCAAAATGCAAACTACACCGCTTTTTGTCGAAGACGAGACGCGCTAGCCAGACGAGAGCTCGAACTGGTGTCGCGAAATTATATTGTTTTGCCGTTTCCTCTTCCATTCGAATATCGTCTCGAACCAGCGCCAATTTCTCACCAAAACAATGTACGTTTTATGCTAAATGAATCCTGCTACTATAAAAGCTCAATCGTCAATAACTGACTCATTGACAAAACAAATCGCAGTTACTTTGTAACTCGCGTACAAAAAAGTTAGTTCCCACCTCTATACCAAATGTCAAAAAATATATACGTTTTTCCAATTTCCAATTTCACTGTTACTTTGTATTTCCGGATATTTGCACACTCTTCGCATTCGTTAATACTCTGTGACAAATGCGTTCTGACTTCCAATAAATCCAGATCGTACTGGCGGTTTTTCTAGCGCATAATCGTCGCGTTTTAAACGACATTGAAAACTTAATTCGCGTTTCCCTTATGGTCGAGGAATGCCCGTCGATCGGCTGGAATATAATCTCCGAGTTATTTCGTTTTTATTTCGCGAAACGAGCTCCGAGAAGTACGCGAAATCGGAGATTTCGCCCGGAGTACTCTTCTCCGGAGTCGCTGGCTCGGTGTACGGGTAAAGCACCGATATCGACGAGGCTGCGCGGCTAATTAATTAGATAAGTGTCATTTTTTCAGCGGCGGACAATTAAGCGTTAATGCCTTGTTTGGATCCTGGGAATAGCGCTTTTTTTCCGCTCAGGAATTTTATCTTCTGCGCTGTTAAGTTGCTTGCGCGTATTTTTATTTTATTCCGCATATAAACCGATGAAAATAATCGTAATCTGTGCGCCGTTATAGGCGGGAAATACACCGAAAAATGCGTTCCTTAGGGCGAACAAAATTGCCGGAGTTTTTGAATGAGTTGCCGATGATTTAACGGGATCCAAAAACAACAATAAAACGTCCCGTTGATTCCGTAAAGACATAAAAGAAGTCTCCGCTGAAAAGTCCATAAAGGTAATACATAAAACCTGAATTTTATCGCTTTAACTCGAACACTCGGATAATTTTACTTTTAACGGTTGATAAGTTTAACTTCTGTCGATTAAAATGTTGTTGGATCCTAAATCAAACGACTCTATAAAAAAAAACTTAAATTCTATTTACCGAGTCTCGAGAGCATTTCATCATTCAATTTTGTACAAGGGACTATGTTTTTGAAAAAATCACTGTTACGCATGTTCCGACATCTCTATACAATAAAAGTAATTCCCACCTCTACACCAAACGTCACTTACTTAAAAATAACGACATTTAATGGATATGACTATTCAACCGAACGTAAGTTTGATAGTGTCTACTCGCACGTATTTTATAAATTTTCTCAAAAAAAAATCAAATTAAAAACGAAATATAACTAATCATTACATACTTTATTAACAACTTTTGTACAATACATAGTCTAATTAGCAGGTGAATCCTTCTGGTACGTAATTGCAGGAGCTGTTGTTTTTGGCGCCCGTGATGTGAATTCCTTCAAATTTCCAGTCCGTGCAGGCCCCCTTGCCGCACAAAATGTAATTCGCCAACGTGGGAGATTTGTTGAAACTTTCCATGTATCCACTGATATTCTCGAGCGTTAAACCGGTAATCGGGATGTTTGTTCCGGGTATTCCGGTAGCCTCGCCGTCGGCGTAGTCTTGTTGGATGTTGATGCCGAAATTAGCGATTTCTGTGGAAGCAAATAGATGAGAATTCGGCTAAGCGTTTAGGCAAGAAGATTACTTTCGAGTTTAATGTTCCTGTAAACAATGTTTTGCATGACTCCGGGTCCGCTGTCCGAATGGGTCTTAAGATGGATGCCGTTCGGGGAAAAGTGCACCAAACTGTTCTCGAACAAGACGTTACTGACTGTGTTCGATTCGAAGTTCGTCTTGGAAAATCCCACGGAGATGCTGAGGCCGTGTCCGCCGTAGCACTTCAGCCCGGACAAAGTGATGTTGTGTCCTCTGTTGACGGCCACGCAATCGTCCTGGTTCTTCACGATACTGTCTTTGATTATTATGTTGTTGCTGCCGATGTCGAAACCGTCTGTATTGTGACCGGTGAAATTGTTCTGGAATTTAAATTAATGTTTAAAGATATATTGGATGCTTATTTTTGGGGGTGTATTAATTAACCTTATCGCCTTCGGAGTTGTCGATGTTAAACTTCGAAAGTACTACGTTATCGGAGGCTTGGATGGATACGCAGTGGACCGGGCAATTTTTGATGTTTATGTTTTGGATGGTGGATTTTGTGACCGATTGAATTCGCAGGAATTTCGGTTTTACTACTCCTTTTGCGCCTTTACCGTCCCAATAGAGCTCACCGTTACCATGGAGCACGTGACCTAATACAACAAAAACACCGATTAGAATACTTCCCAGTTACAAATAACCCCATAGGGGTGAAAAACTTACCTGGTTTTCCTTCGATTTTCAAACCGTTTCCTCTGATCGTAACCAGCGGACCTTTCCAGTTGAAATATTCAAAAGAGGTTTTCCCTTGGAAAACTAAACTGGCCCCGTCGAGCAGAGATAATTTCAACGTTTGATTGCCCGGTACTGTTAGATCTTGCACAACTATGTTCTTGCATTGCTTGGTGACCTCTTCTACTTGAGAAAATTCGCGAATCGTGCATTTTTCAGCGAAAGAAGCGCTCGTTATCGCCAAAATGACGAGGAGGTTTGTGTAGAACGCCATTGTTAATGATTGATTCGTAAGGTATCGTGTACTTTTATACAAATTTTCGAAATAGGTACTTTGTATAAAATGTATCATACTTGTGGGAATGTAAGATAAGATTATGCTATATTATTTTATACATTTCTAGTTTATTTGTTTTTAATTTTAATATCGTATTATGTATTATATCGGAGGTTTATTCTGGATAATTCAAAAATGTATAAGATCCAGGCGAATAGTAAGAATTTGTTCTTTATTACAATGTTTATACAATTAGATTGCAAGAAAAACAAGAACGTCCAAACGAGCCAAATCCTCCGCTGACGATCGTCTTTTATCTGACATCTTTATAGTAGGTTAATTATTGCCTTATTAATTCCCGAAATTCGCAATGTATTTTTACGCCTCGTTTATGAAAAATGAAATTTTAGTCCGGTTTCATCAACTCATCGTCTATCTCGACGACTGCGATCTTAATATCAAATAATTTTATCGCATTTACGTGAATTATTTTCATTAGAACTGTTGCTCTTTCAATTGAGTATATTTATTTCGAGTGCCTTATTATTTTATAGGTTATCTGAAGGTTACGTAAATATGTAGTTAAAAAAATTAATTTTTCTCCGTACGAGAGAATGAATTCTGTGGAAACATAGTTATGATACCAATTTTACTGATACTTTGTAACACAAGTTCCGACATCTCTATATGTAAAAATTGCTTCCCACCTCTACACCAAATGTCAAAAATTTGAAAAATGACGTTTAATGGATATGACTATTCAACCGAATTTACGTTTGGTAGTGTCTACTCGCACGTATAATTAATACTTAATAAAAAAATAGTTTGAATTTTCTTATTCTGGCAAATTTCGTATACCAGCTTACTGGCCTGGTGAGTGGCTACTCAAGATGGCAGGTTTTACGATGAATATAAATATACGGAGCGTTTTTACGACTCGTATTTATGTAATACATTTTAGTGGATTTTACAAAACTCGGATGCCGTAAATTATCAAAATTTTTTGAGGTAATTCAGGTTGAAAATTCGCCCATAAATTACGTACGAATTGCATTTTTGAACCAATTTTCGACCGCAATCGAATTAGCTCTAGATGGTTCATTTACATTGAAATTAATTTAAGCTTCTACAGCAATAGAATTTATAAAAATTGATTAACAAAAATGATTATTCTCTAAATAAAGTCGTTAAAATAACGTTAATTTATAATGAAGAAACTCGAATAAGTTTTTTTACAACGCGTCTAAACAATAAGTCTATACGTTGGAAGACATGAGAAAAGAAAACATAAAATAATGGTGCCTTTTATCGCAGCAAATCGTTAAAGTGGAAATTTTTCGAAGAAAAATAAAAGCAAACAGGTATTCGCTCTTCTATTTTTAGAAAGAGTTATTGATATGGCCGGCATTCCGCTATAACAAGACACCTCTATGGGTTCTTAGCAGATACTTTTATTCCCTCATTCCAGCATGTTACATATGCATCTGCGTGCGTAAAAAACCGCACGAAAAACGAATCTCTCGTTACCTGATAGAATTCAATAAAGTACTCCGGATATTTCGCGAGCGCGAAGGGAGTTCGTTAAAACGAATACGCCGAATCATTAATACATTTCTTTGAAGTCGAATCGAAAGAGAAACTCGCCATGATTATTTTAACTGCCGCAATAATTCGCATTTAATCTCTGTGCGATAACTGTCGTACCGAAATAGCGGCGATTTATTCGTTGTCAGTACGTTAATTTCGTCGATATTTACGCCCCGGTACACGTACCAAATATACGGGGTGTAATCGAAATATTCCAATTTAATAGAAGTGGGGTATTGTGATGGAAAAATGTAACAAACTTTCGGTTTTTGTATGCTCAACAAACGCTCGCTTCGACGTCGATCGAAAAGAAGAGTAAATCTCGTCCACTCGAGTCCGATGCCATTTTACAATGTCAATAACTTTCTCCGGTTTTCGGATGGAACTCGCCCCCGGTATATAATTCAGTTTTATTCGCTTATTTTTTCCCGGATATGTCTGCGTTATCACGGTCGCTTTATTGACAGCTTATTTACGGTGAAGCTCGGCCATGGAAAAGTTTTTCCCCGCGCGAGGAAACTTTAGAAAAACCAGTTAGCTCGATGGCCGAAAATACGTTGGGGTTTTCCCGCGAAATTAATCGAGAACGGGGAGCCGCTCAAAAATGGAATTTCCATCGTAAACTTCGGATATTAAGTCGGCGAAGTTTTATGTACTTTTGGTGTTTTTAGTATTATTAGTTCGAATGGAAGTTGATAAACAAAGTCGTGTATTCGATGATTTATCCAACACTTTTCTTACACATTTTCTCTAAATGAAAAGTTCCTGGGGATTACTTACTTAGAGGAGCTCGCAAATTGTACTGATGAAATTCGTTATATATTAATCATCTTAGTAATCTTTCTCTTTTTGATACATAAAATAAACTCGATACGATAAATTAGACGTACTATAAAAGTCAGTAAGAAGAAAGTAAAACCATTAACAAACGCAAACTAACGAGTCGATTCTGGTATATTGCGTGGGTTGCAACAAGCAAATTGAATTCTATATACGAGTGGAATTCGATTTTATGTACCTACTAATATAAGTGCAGGTGAAATTCTTTTTTTTTATTCGTTTTTATGAATTATCAAACGACTCCATCTCCGAATTAATTCAAAGAATCATATAAGTGATTTATTTTAGGAATTTTTTGGACGTATTTTATATACTTCAAATTATCTCAAAAATTATATAAAAATAAAGCAATTTATACCAGATTAGTAACGACTACAGAAATATTTTAAAAATTCTTAGTTATTTTATAACGCTCCTTCTGCCACCTCTATTACCATCTCATACCAAATGTCAAAAACGTTGAAAAATGACATATAACGAATATGTCTACTCAACCAAACCTACATTTGGCAGTGTCTACTCGTACGTACAAATTTAATATCAATTCCACCGACTAATTTTCCTATCGAGATGATTTAGAGAGTGGTCAAATAACCAGCGAATTCATGGATAAGTGACACAAAGTATACGCCCCTGTTATTATACGAATGTCCGAAGGATATGAATTTAATGAAGTAAAGAGATTTAAATCGGCCTAAAACGGTGCCGTATATCAATAATCGCTGACAGAGAACACAATTCTTATCACATGTCATCCGAATTGTAAAATATAACTCATTAAGTAAGTTCAAAACCGGTCCATTTCGAACTTTCGATTCCGCGTTGTTGCCTACAAAAAAAAGGCGTAATTCCTTATTGAACTCTTTTATTTAATTTTATTTATTTTTTCATTTTCGAAAAGTACAGTGCAGTAACGATTCCGGGCGATTCGATTAGATAAGCACCCCGAATTATTTTCCATCCTACTGAAAAAGGATTGTATGATTGTATTCTATTAGATTACGCAAGCGTATAGCGAATGCCGCATAAATATTTATGCTCTCGCTGTATATAGATGCAACTGTCGTAATAATTATATTAGTAGACGAAAAGTTGGTTCACTTTGTCGCGACTCTACCCGGTCTCGGCTCGAATTAGGACCGGGGAGACGTTTCCAGGACGATTCGACTAGGCGAAGGAGCCGTTTCGCGCACAAGAAACTGCCCGTTTTAATCTGCAAATTGCCCCAGTACTAGGTCTCGTTTGCATTATCAAGAGCGGAACACGTGTATTCAAACTTCTCTATACCATACACTCGAGCATGTTTAATGTACAGGGAATTTTGATGGGTTGGTAGCATTTTTTTTGGTTAATTGCGTTGATGTTGTATTTTAACAAATTAGTTAATGTGATAACGTTGGGTTATTATAGGGTGTCCCAAGGTTAGCTTTGGATAATTTGCTGTTTTTAGATTATTCTCGGTTCGCAATTTCAGAAGTATACAGGGTGTCTCATAAGTTGATACTTTTTTAACTGCGTATAGATCTTTTAATTCTAAGCAACTTTTTCAAGTAAATTTTTTAATATTCTGGAAAATAAAAAAGATGGAAATTCTTAAAATTTCTTGAAATTTCGAATATTTTTCAATACGTACCTGCCACTACCATATAGGTGTCAAAAAAATAAAAAATAATGACAAAAAATTAATTTTTCGATTTGTTGAAATGAAAATGGCTCATCTTTATAAAAATAATGAATTGATGGACATGCTGATTATTTATGGAGAGTGTTTCCAAAGCGTTTCCAATCAAAATGGCGACAATTTTGAGCAGTTCCTTTAACTTTTAATGAACAGGGCTGTATTAACTAAATTTTACTAATTAAAAATTTAAAAAAAAGCTCTCTTATTTTCCAGAAAATTAAAAAACACCCTGTATTCGCTATCATTCTGTATACAGAGTGGCACTACTAAAGTAAAATATTTCTATTACACAATGATAAAAGTTTCAAGAATTTTATGTTTTTAGTAGATGGCTTGGTAGTGCAGTCTTTTGCATACAAAATTAGGTTCTATTACGATCTCCTGATAGCGAACGGAGTATAGTTCCCCTTCATTTTATTAATTACAGTAATAATATCTATCTTTTTATATTGCACACAAGAAAAAAAAACAGTATAGTAAACAACAGTAAAATAACTCAGAATTTTATGACCTAAGTCAGCAATTTGCGAAGGAAAAAAACGTCATAGAAATGGATCGCAGAGCGCTAATCGTAAATTTGTTTGTCGTAAGAGTCCTCCCGACACTTAAAAAGTACCGTTATCAACGCTTCCGCCCGTATTTTACCAGAAGACTTTTATTAGGGCTTGCGGGGGTTTAATGACGGACTTTGCATTCGGCCTATTGTCGCCCAAACACGCCCGTCTATTTCCTATTTTTCCCTGAACATCGCCCAAACGCGAACCCAATTAAACGTTTTACTGTTTATCTTATAGTCAATTATGTTCCGATATACCCTCCAGTAAATAAACCATCCTAATCAATCCAATTAAAGAACATACATAGTGAGCCAATTAAGAAATCCAGTTGAGTTGTTCCACAAATCGATTACATCTTTTAATTGGGGATTTTTTTGATTTATTACTCCACCGGCAAACTGAGTAATTCGT